GTAGTATGCCTAGAGAGTGTCGTTTAGATTTGGTGGTTGATGAGTAGGAGGTCGATGGCGCTGTTGTGCAGAAAGTCCCCGCTTCTGGGCCAAACGTTCGCGAACCAACTTGGGCGAACGCGAACGCACCTTAAAACGAAACCCTAACCCTCGTCTGTTGTCCAACGAGCTTGCCCATCGTAAATGTTTAGATCTCCCTTTCCTGAAGGAATTCCCTTCAGCGCAGCCCGGAGCTCTCCAGTTCCAACCCCAACCCTCTCATCCAGCTGATGAACCAGCTCATCAGTCGAACACTGGTTGGCTGAGCTCGCACAAAACATTGCCCTTTGGAACATCCTTTCGATAATTGGTAATTGGCACGAGGGTGACACGTAAGGAATGAAGGAGGGAGTCATTGCCACCACCGTTTCATCCTCGACCTCATTCTTGAAAGAACGGGCTTGAAGACTGAGTGGAGTACTGAGCACCGGCTAGGCTCGAATTGCAAACTTGTATGTCATATGCCTGTAGAGTCGCGCCCTGAGACCCGATCGGGGCAGCAGATGGTGGAAGTGTGACGGTGGTAGTGTATATGCATCAGCTGGGGGGGAACTGGCGTTAGCGACATGGAGAAGAGAATTGTATAGAAGCAGGTTGAAAGTAGACAGGGGGTAGGGAAGCTGAGGGGAGGAGGCGGGGATGGAAGAGGAAGAGGATTGAAAGCGAAGAAGGGTGGAGAGAAGAGGGGGGTTGGAAAGACACCACAACATTCTACCCGCTTTGCGGAGGCAACCCAACTCCGCAACTCGCCTATCAAGTAATAAACAGAAAAAGCTCACCCAATCTCAACATCCCAAACGCTCAAAACCTTACCGCACCCTCCAGTTACGACGATCGAACTAGGCCGGCCACACCAATGAAGGAGTAGCGCATTCAGCTTTGACTTGGTCTTGAGCGGCCTTGTCTCTCTGTTGGTTTAGAGATTGACTGTGGCGCCACCGACGTGAAGGTGCGCTGTGTAGTTTGGTCTGGTGCGAGTCCCGGTCGTCTTGCTGGTGGTGTAAGCTTCCACCACGCCCGTTGCGCGAATCTCCATCAGGTTTGTGGCTCGAGCTCCCGCCATCGCGTTGATCCCTAGTTCCTAATATCTACCCGCCTAGTCCATTGAGGCGTTGAAATTCGAAGATAGCGAAAGAGCCGCAGACGTTAGGCGAGATTGAGTTGGTCCTGCCGCTTGATGTCGTTGTTCTCCGATCATCTGCGCCCGTCGATACCTCACTAGCTTTCCCAAGGATGAATAATGCGCCTAACTGTATACGCTGTCAGGAGGGATCACGCACAAAAAATCAAACCAAAGATACATACGAACAACATTGACGGCGCAAATCCTACGAAATGAGAAGTGAGCAAAACGGATCCAAGTTATAAAGATGCAGAGAAGAATATCACCTCCTCAACTACAAAATTTGTTTTAGGCTTTTGGCATCGTATTTGCGTGTCCGCGAAAGTAGCTAATAGGTTCATTGAGGAGATGTGTCTGTTGCGGAGGAACTGTTCTGAGGGGAAGGATATCGGTAGTCCACGCGCAAAACGACGATACGGGTCGACGTCGCAGTTCATCTTTCGAGTATGGTAGGTACGCTTCTCTGAACCGGGTTCCGAGCGCCCATAGGACAGGTGACAGAATTTTGAGCTGTGCTGTGTGAACGCTTGTATGCCCCGGCAAAACGCGAATGATGCCTCATGGGCAGTGGCGGCTGTTGCACCCCCTCGTTCTCGCTTCTTTCCTTCGCCCCCATCTGCTACACTTCCAACATGAGCCAATTAAATGTCCTCCAGAATGCTCGGAACGTTGCTATAACTGATAGCAACATAAACGTCGCCGATACTGTTAGTAAAGTTTTCTAAAGCTTCTATTGCAAGAACGGTCCTAACTCTCCCCCCGTCTCACACATGTGATGTGCTGGCAATCACCGGCACTCCATATATGGTAATTATACGACTTAGGGCAATGTGCCATTGCCCTAAGTCGGCTCGAGAGCGCGCTACCGCGCGTTCTCGAGCACCTAACCTACCCTAACCTCCTAACCTAACCACTAACCACTAACCTCCTAACCTTCTAACCAAGAACGCGCTACCGCGCGGGGAAAAAAATATCCCCAACCCTAACCGCTAACCTCCTAACCTCCTAACCTTCTAACCAAGAACGCGCTACCGCGCGGGGAAAAAAATATCCTCAACCCTAACCATTAATAAACCCTAAGCGCTAACCTCCTAACCTCCTAAGCGCGCTACCGTGCGAAGAGAAAAACCCTAACCTCCTAACCTAACCAGTTAGGTAATTATTTTAATAATAAAAAGATGTGGAGCATCCAGAGTCGAACCCCAAACCTTTCGTAAGTATCACTAACACAGTGACAACAACCACTACACCAAACCAGCATATATGTCCAAGGTTTGTTGTGGAATATATCCCCCCACAAGAGGCCTGATTTGTCATAATTTCCCTTTATGGAAATGTGAGACGGGGGGATAATTGGGCTGGCTTATTGCAAGCTCATCAATTGGTTTTTTAAACAGATCAATTACTACGCTAGCGTCGGCAACAGAACGATATCCGATGCAGTGATTCCCGTAAAACCAAACTCAAGTATTCGGTTCACAGGACGCACCGACGTTCTCGCAAAATTGAAGGAACATTTTACTGCTGAAAGCAACGATAAACTCCGCCGTCAAAAATTCTTTTTGTTGTATGGCATGGGGGGTATTGGGAAGACTCAGATTTGTTTGAGGTTTATTGAAGATATGTCTGACAAGTAAGTACTCCACCATATTACTTAGTACCTGTTTCTGAATGGTCCCAAGCTTTTCCCATGTGTTCTGGATTGATGCATCTTCAGTTGGTACAATCACTCAGGCACTGAAGGGAATCTGCAACCTTCCTGAGGCTCAGTCTTCTGCTCTGGATGGTTCACCTGAATCTGCTTTAT